ATGTCAGGGATGAAACAATCGACTGCCCATGCCAAGGTGTTTACAATCACTGGATGTTTTGAATAAACAACTGGTTTCTTTCTAGATGGTTTGACAAACAACTATCTTCGGGACTTTAATTATAAAATGCAGTGTGTCTGACAAGTCTAGTAGCTGTGCAACTGTTGGTGTTGCTCCTTCCCTATACAAATCATTTGTACCAGTCAGTAAAATAAGGAAATCACGGCCGAAGGCAGAAATAATGTCCAATTTCTGTTTTTAAGTGCTTAATTTTTGCTTCTTGGTCCCTTAAAATTGAATAAGAAACTCCTTTCTGTTCAAGTTAAATAAATTATGTGTAACTATTGTGGCCAGACGCCCTTTTCTAGGTCTGACCACTCGGGGAATTAGCTTTAAATCTTAACTTCACAATTGCTTTTGAAATTTATATAATAACAAACTTTAATGTCCACATTCAGTTTCTTTTATTCCATATGATTTGCTAAATCTTTTACACCAGTCCACCTTATTATTAATTAAACTATTATTTTTACAATATCAAATTAAATCCTTTTGTTCACTTCTAATCTTTCTACTCAATTGTATTTTCTTTTCTTGTCCTCTAACCTTCTTAACCTAGACTTAAACCTAAACTGACTTAACTTTCCCCCCAAATCTGTTATGTTCCAAAAAATTCAATCCAAACAAAGTATCTGCCCCCCCTTTTTGAATTTATCCAAATCACATAATATATTTCTTATCTTTAACCTGTCAATCTAATAATTATTATTACAATATCACATGTGCATTTGACCAGCTTCTAATTTTTACACAAAGGATTTTCACACCTAAGTAATATTGACTTTGAAAAGCTGAGAAGCAGACCAAAACAATTTAGTCTATCCCCCTCAGCTTTCCAAAGAACCAAAATATGTTATTAGATCAATATTAGCAATATTAGGTTGTAATCATAAAACATAAAACAAAATATTGCCTGGCATGACATTATCTCGCCACCCAGCTAAGTTTGCTCCGTCAAACTTTATACATAAACATATAAACTAATCAATGAACATTAACAATAAGACAATATAAAAAATTAAAATCACTACTAACAATTTTATATATAAATAACAGATAAGGTGACTGAGAGAGCGTGTCAGAGGCGAGGAGTGAGTAGTGAGAGAGCGAGCAGAGTGTGAAAAGCTTATGCAATACAATGTATTATAATCATATGCAATCAACACATGTTAACAGTGTAATATATAGAATAGTATGATCTATTTAAATCTTGATTTCTTAATTAACCACAAGAATCTTATATAATATGTTCATAATTTCCATGTAAATCCATTTCTCTGATATAATGTTACCACAAAACTTCATTATTTCCATTTCATTTTAGTTCTTTTTGTCTGGTGAGACGAGTGGTGTGGTGTTTGATTTGTAGTCTATTTTCCTTTGCATAAAGATATTGTATTTACAGTTAAAACACACATGTTTCACATTTTCCCTTCAACACTGTTCATTTCACTTCATCCTTTGTCATTGTAACCAATTCAAAACACTAAATCGCACTCATATCATTTTTCAAATCACATATTCATAAACTTAGTATGAGGGTTCAACCTATTTTTAATCTTGTTCATCGCAATTAAATTAATTCAATTCACACTTGTAGCATTAAACATTAACAAACTTTCTGTAGGTGTGTGAGCGAGTGTGTGTGAGAGACTTATTATGACCGTAAAGCTTGAAAGATGTGAAAAATAGGCAAAACTTACAAAAATAGTTTATACAGAGAGAGAGTGTGTGAGACGAGATGTGAAGTGCGTGTGCGTGTGGTGTGTGTGTGACATATACAAGTAGAGAGTGAGTGATGAGTATGCGAGAGAATTCTTGACTTGACTATTTTAAGCTTCGCACAGCTCAACTGTAAACAAAGATTCATAAACTCACATTTTATTCTCCCTTAAAATGCCTTTTTGTCCATCAATTATCCCCAATAAAATATTACAAATTCTAATAGACTATGATAATACAGCATTGTTCATCAATTAGACTTAACACATCTATTTCTCTAAATCACCTCACTTCTATACCGTAGTTATTAATATTTATATTGACCATCAAAGTCACAATAACCTCCGAATTGTATTCTAATAGGTTGAGAGCGAGGTGAGTCGCTGTGTGTGGTGTGAGCGAGTAGAGCGAAGAGGTTGAAAATATTTAAGAAGTGAGATGAGATGTAGCCATGCCAGTATAAATGTTCCAACAAAAATCTACTTTAAAAAAAAAAAATGTGCACATATAGGATATTGGAATTTAGTTTAACATGACAGCAGAAATTGACATGACCAGACTTAGCCATTTAACCACAATGCCTAAATGGGAAATTGCAGTAAAAGGACATCACATTTTTATTAACCCCAACAACAAGAATCTTAATAAAGTTACAACAATACTCTCCTAACTACTTTAAGCATTCATAGTATATAAATCCCTTTTTTTTTTTTTTTTTTTTTATATATAACTATATGCGTATTTTATATTTTTATTTTACTACATATCTCTCATACCACTCTTAATTCTCACATACTGGACGCTTTCGCACAGTGCCTGAGAACGTGTACTTAATGTGAAAATTCTTTCTCACATCTTCTGGCAATCTCACTATAGCGCCACTCAAGTTCGTGTTCTGCGCATGTGTGTCATGTGAGCCGTGTTGCGGTTACCAAAGTATACCAAAGGTCTACGCTCTGTTGATAATGTGCGCTTAACAATTTTTCCCAAATCGAAGTTATCTAAATTTGAAACTTCAGGTTTATCTCTGATCATTAACTGATGAAGACAGTGGCTCTGTCTCATCCTTTTCTTGGTCATCCATCTCCAGCTGTTGTATTCTGTCTGGCAACCCTGATGGCACATTTAGTCAGGTCTTAGGAGCTGGATTGGTGGTGGCGTCTCAACCTATTTGCATGTTACAACACTTTTGACAGCTTGATGTGTGGCTAAATTTCGCAGACGAAAATTGACTTCAATTAACTTTTCAGAAATTGTAGTTAGTGGCCCAGTCCATTTTCTTGTCAACTTTGGTTAAGAGTTAAACAAACTGAACGCACTTTTCTTCGTTGCTCCAATTATTTAATTGTCCGATTTTCTCGAATTTCTCCAAAAAAGTCTACATTATCATTTTGTTCAAATTTTGGTGTTGCTATCAATTGTTTATTTCTTGACATTTTAATTTAATAAAAGTTCTAAGAATACTTCCGGATTCTCACACCATTATGTGTGCCAGACGCCCTTTTCTAGGTCTGACCACTCGGGGAATTAGCTTTAAATCTTAACTTCACAATTGCTTTTGAAATTTATATAATAACAAACTTTAATGTCCACATTCAGTTTCTTTTATTCCATATGATTTGCTAAATCTTTTACACCAGTCCACCTTATTTTAATTAACCTATTATCTTTTACAATATCAAATTAAATCCTTTTGTTCACTTCTAATCTTTCTACTCAATGTATTTTCTTTTCTTGTCCTAACCTTCTTAACCTAGACTTAAACCTAAACTGACTTAACTTTCCCCCCAAATCTGTATGTCCAAAATTCAATCCAAACAAAGTATCTGCCCCCTTTTTGAATTTATCCAATCACATAATATATTTCTTATCTTTAACCTGTCTATCATAATTATTATTACATTATCACATGTGCATTTGACCAGCTTCTAAGTTTTTACATCAAAGGATTTCACACCTAAGTGATATTGCTTTGAGAAGCTGAAGAAGCAGACCAAAACTAATTTCAGTCTATCCCCCTCAGCTTTCCAAAGAACCAAAATATGTTATTAGATCACATATTAGCATAATATTAGGTTGATCATAAACATAAAACAAAATATTGCCTGGCTACACTATTAATCACACAACTAACATGCCCTTTACAATGACACTTCCAATCTGCATTTAGCAAAGCAGTTTTTCTAGTGTATGAGTCCAGGTATTTTCACTGAATACCATGGAACTGTTTGGCTGATGGAAATTTCAAATTGAGCATGCTTGTCCATAATTCAATTTTTCCATAACTATTTCCACTTGTTAGAATTGTGGAACATATACAAAAAAATCCCCACTATGCATTCTTTGGTTTAGCAATGGCTGTGTGAGCACCGATTCTTAGTCATTGATATTCCATTCACTAATGCAAGAACATTGCTGAAGTGTGAAAATGATAAAAGCTGTACAGTTTTTTTCCATAATTCATCTAATTAATTATTTATGAAAACAGTAAGTCTCATTTAACAAAAGAAACAAAACAAATCAGGCCACATTTAAAAAAGTCTTTGTTTGCTGTCTCCCGACCCTACTTTTTAGAGTAGGGTAGGTAGGTAGGGATTTTTTTTTTTTTTTTTGAAATACATAAATGGTTTTAATAGTGTGAGAAATTTTATATAGTTTTATTTTTCAAATTATGCCTTTACATTTGGTCTTCTGTAAAAGTTTTAAACTGCCAAAATATGGCCTAGAATGCAGGAAATCAAGTGCTTAATTTCAAAATTTTTCGAACCCCCTAGGAGGCCTGCTAGATTTCAGATTTGGCCTGCTGAGCTGAAAGTTATTGAGAACCCTGTGATTCTGTCTGTTGGAAAAAAACGATTTAATAAAATGCGACTATACATTTTAAAATTGATATATCTTCCAATTAGTCAATAAAAGAAGTATAGTTCTTTTTAATTAAAATACATGTAACAAAAACAATTTTGGACATTTACCCAACATGTGAGAGGCTGACTAAAACACTCAAATATACATGAATGACAAGAACACTGACACAGATATACTCAAGTATATTATGCAAAATAACTACTGAACAACAAAAAGCATCATTATACATCACATCACTGAACAAACAGTTTAAAGTCTGCTTACATTTTATCTTCACTTAATGAAGAGTTAGTAACACAATCAGAAAAAAAAACTTCAAACACAATGCAACTTCAGACAAGTAAACAGTTAACAGTTCAGGAATCCTCTGTGCTTCTAGCTTAGCACAATGGGCACAAATATCTGGTCATCCAATGTTGGAGGCACAGTAAGGGAACTCCATGTGAGATTGGCATGACATCTACACTCGTACAAACACTCTCCCTTAATGCAGCGCATCTCCTATGAAAACAGACAGAAAGCTAATTAGACTTTATGCAATACAGATTTTGCCAAAAATGCAAATATTTTAACATTTTTAATTATACAAACACCATGGGAAATATATAAGAAAGAACAAAGTTAGGTCTCTACTTTCAGTTGATTATTTAAAAACATTTTGACATCATTGTTTCAAGAAAATAACTTAATAAGCACAGAAATGTACAATATCAATACTAACCATCAACAGTACTGACTGAAACACAGCTGTAATCAAATTCTCAAGGTTGTGTTCAAGAGATCATGTTTCCCTGACTGTCAATTTATTCTTGGAGTAAATACACCTTTGTGTATAGCATTCAGTGCATGGAACAAATAGCCTTGCATTTTGAGCCACTAGAAGACTATTCTTAAAGCCCTGCAATAATGAGAAAATTTGATACCTTTAACATTGAAATGAGTGCTGAAATAGTACCAGTAGCATGGGACTCCATATTATCGGCGTACTTAAGTTTTCCTATATGTCTGCATTGAATTTCATTCATGAATTTAATAAGCAATATTCTGTTTAAAGCAGTACAAATTCAACTAATCATTACATTTTTTTATTGAATGAGGTCAAAGATTTTTAATTTCAATGTATACATGACCGCACATGACAAAATACTGAGAGTATGTCGATAATAGAGTTGCGCCGATAATACCGATATACTAAGGCGGGTGGTACTAAAAACAATAAGATCAGTGCATTTGCTGGTTAAAGAAAATGATTATTAAATAAATACTGGTACTTATAAAATTTATGAATGAGTACATACCAGAAACTTAATTGATTTACAAAAACTTTATTTGAAGTCGTTTACATGAGCATTCAATACTAAATTAAGTTTTTAACCATTTTTTTTTCAATGTCAAAGCATTATACCGTAGGAACGTCTGATTTTTTCGGGTAAAAATCCTTGGCGTCATTCAACAGATCGGCCCTTGTCCAGGCCAATCCATACTCGTGGAGGTTATTTTTCAACAATGTGAACCGCAGCCAATATTATTCGTAATAATAACTGTTGACGAGATGATAAAATACTCGTCTTCTTCTAACTTTCGTTTTGCTATCGCAAAATTGTAACAGAAGTGTACACAATCGACATTTTACCTGGCGGTACTTGATTGTCGATACACGTGACGCATTATATGCGGGAACCAGAATACTATACGCGGTTATTTAACGGATATCGGTAAAAATATGCGGCACCAAAAAAAATATAAAAAAAATGGTCGGCAAGAGCAAATAAAATTTTTTGGAGCGCAGCGATTTTTTAGGGTCGGTCGGGAGACAGCAAACAAAGCTATTTTTAATTTAGGCCTCATATTTCATTATTTGCTCCGACTCGATATAAAAGTGAATAGTTAATCAAAATATGACAGGAGATAATTATATGAGAGGAGATATATGAGAATTAACTAATTAATATTGTAATGAGAGTTACACTAGTTTATATATATCCTAAAATTGAGGATGTTGAAAATGTTTTGCTCACCCATTTTGAAATTGACAGAAGTCACAACAATGTGTTAAACTATTTCCTACTCTCAACTAAGGGTAACTAACTTTTTTGTTGTTGATTGTATTTAATTTCCATGTTTGAAAAGTTGTGTCATTAAGCTTCTATTCATTTATTTATTTTATTTTGTTCACATTTTCTTGACTACGCTCTTCATAGGCTTGTTTTCTTTTCCTTTGTTGGTCAGCCTATTTTCAACGTTTGGAGAATGTTCCTTGTTCTGTGACCTTTCTATCAGGGTAATCTTTCTTTTTATCCGGACAAGCTAATTGACTTTGTCTTCAAGAGGTCCAGTGCTTTTCAGGAGTGGTGTAAGCGCAATTGTGATTTCTTCCTGACTTACCCTTTGTCTTTAAGAGGTCCAGTGCTCTAAGGAGTGGTGTAAGCGCCAGTCCATAATTTTCTGTGACCCTCAGTAGAAGAAAATTTGCTAGCTGAACAACACTGTTCAGCTCCCTCTCTACCAGGATGAAGTCCATTTAAGGTCAGTTGTGTGGCAGCATTGCTTCATCTGAATTATCGAGTACCTTGCAAAAAATATGGCTTTGAACAAACATAGACATAAAACTAAATGAGTACCATGTAATATACAATTAACTTTCATTTAAATGGTTGTTGTGTTACTATTTTACAATAATGAATATATTTTGACTCCTTGCTGGTATTTTTCAAAGGATAATCTCAGTGTTTGGAGAAGCGTCGTGAACCATATTGCAAACCTTGATCACATTCTTGAATATCAGTATTTTAAATGTGTAATATTAACCACTTAAAAGTTTATTCATTAATGACTTTATAAACTGTGTAAAACTAAGGATTAGTTGAATCATTTAAACATACAAACTGAAGATCTTGTGACTTCTAACCTAAATTCTGTGTATTACTATAACTGGTTAAATTGGCTGCTGCCTTTTCAAATCATGACAGTTCAAATTTTTACTACAAAAAGGAAAACAGAATGTACACGGTGTTAAGAAAATCTTAGATGAATATGTAGATCTTAAGCTAGAACTCTCAATATAACCATATTTAATGTGTAACAAAATTAAGATTCAAGCCCACTGATAAACCATTGTTGGTCGAAAAGGCAGACAGTTTGATGCTCAACTAGCAAGTGTGGCACAAACAGGAGTGGAATAACTTCAATAAGAAAATAAATTTCCTATTAATAAAACACATACATGTAGATGGCAATACATCATTTGGTCCCATGAACAAATACAGCTGTCTGTATCTAACGGCTAACTCTCGACAATTAAAAAAATGCACAGGGCTACAGAAATGAAAACTTTGATCATCAAGATCAAAAAAACAAAATTCTCGAATTTTAGCTCACCTGTCACAAAGTGACAAGGTGAGCTTTTGTGACAAGTTCAGCTTTTGTGATCACAACTCTTACAGCCTCTGTTAGTAGACTTTTTTTGAAGTTTTTACTATATGCATATAGGGAAAATCAATGACCCCCTGGGGCGGGGCCAATTTTGACCCAAAGGCTCTTATTTGAACAAACTTGGTAGGCGTCCATTAGAACATCTAGCTCTTTGAGTTCTTTAAAAGAAGATTTTTTAAGTTTTTACTATATGCATATAGGGAAAATCAATGACACCCTGGGATGGGGCCAATTTTGACCCCAGGGCTTTTATTTGACCAAACTTGGTAGACACTCATTAGAAGATGTTTCATGCTAAATATCTTAGCTCTAGCTCTTTGGGTTCTTTAAAAGAAGATTTTATAAGTTTTTACTTATGCATATAGGGAAAATCAATGACCCCCCTGGGGCGGGGCCAATTTTGACCCCAGGGCTATTATTTGAACAAACTTGGTAGACACCCATTAGAGGATGTTTCATGCTAAATATTTTAGCTCTAGCTCTTTGGGTTCTTTAAAAGAATTTTTTTTAAGTTTTTACTATATGCATATAGGGAAAATCAATGACCCCCTGGGGCGGGGCCAATTTTGACCCCAGGGCTTTTATTTGAACAAACTTGGTAGACACTCACTAGAAGATGTTTCATGCCAAATATCTTAGCTCTAGCTCTTGGATTTTTTAGAAGAAGATATTTTAAAGTTTTTTCTTTTGGTTGCCATGGCAACCAGAGTTCTGCATGGAATTAAATTCTTTGAACAATTTTCAAAGGTGACCACCAAAGGAACATTCCTGTGAAGTTTGGATGAAATTGGCTTAGTGGTTTATGAGAAGATGTCATTTAAAGTAAAAGTTTACGGACGACGGACGGACGACGGACGAAAAGCGATCACAAATACTCACCCTGTCACTTTATGACAGGTGAGCTAAATAATTTTGTTTGTTTGTTTTAATAGCAAAAATATTTCATCTGCTTCAGTAAGTTTATTGAAACGTTTCATGAAGCTTCTTATGCGCATGTGCAATGACATTTATCAGTTCTTTTTATTTAGAATGAAATTTAAAAAATGCAGCTGTCATTGCATTCAAAGAAATTTATAACATATATGCTTGTGTGAATTTTCATAAAAGTGCAATGATAGCATGTTCTCATGTAAAACTAATCAATTGTTAGATGTTTTTTCTCTGGTAATGAAAATCTGAGTGTAAGGAGATGTAAGATGACATTTCTAAACCAAATACCTGAAGGTGTTAGTTGCCTCACTTTGGCAGGCATTTTCCTTTCCTGGATTTGGAGTTGACAGACTCTCTCAGTCTGCACGAAAAACTTTTTATGGACAAAGACATTCGGGCTTTTTCCATTAAAACATCACATAGCCCGAACAAATTTTAGGTAGCCCGAAAATTCATACAAAATTTTTCATAATTTGGCCAGGTTTTCAAATTTATATAAATTTACTCATTGACAGTCTCTATTTGAACTACGTAAATAACCAAGGTATATTGAGTGAAAAAACACAAGCTTAGATTAAAATTGATATCTCTAATGCTAAAACAATGCAAATGTTTTAAACCGCTAGTTTGGTGCAATTTAATGTCCGATTTTAAAATTTATTACATCAATGAAAAGCTTGTGATCTTAGCTTTGTCTCAGTAGATCTATATATTTCAACACATTGTTTGACACTGAACTTATTTAAATTTACAGTTAAACCTACCACAAGTCAGACCATTTTACATATGTTTTATACTGTGAAAATACGCAATTGGTTGTCTTAACTCGCAATTCTACTGATAAGAATAGTCTGTCATCTGCTAGTTATCCATGTAGATTCTATTGTGAATAAATTGATAAAAAAGCTTTGTAAATTGAATAACATTTATTTCTGATATTCTACACTGAAAGATAATAGATTTTGGAAACTGCGTGTTCTTTTCTTTTCATATTCCTGTTTAGATGTTTTTGTACTTTCTTCAATCTTAACTTAGCGCCCGGCGTCCATTTCAACATGTGCCCCATTTTGACATTTTAATAACGGAGTATTTGATTGGCTTATAATGTCTCTGCATTATTTCAATTAGCTTACCCCTCTGGCGTTTTGGAAATACATGTGTCAATACCCAGAAAGAAATCAATATGCCATGTCCCTCTCGGCGGTTATAAATAGAATCGACGTTTTGGAAAATCCCGTGTCAATACCTCGAAGAAAATCAATATGTTATATCCCTCCCAGTCATTAAAATGCTATTTATAATCATTTTGGATTCCAAAACATTGCAAGACCGTCGGACTATGTGCCCTGCCTTTTTTGATAGCCCGAATGGTTTTTTACTAGACTCGGGCTCGGGCTTTGCCTATCTTTCACAGACTGTTTCTTCAAGTTATGTCAACTCCAACTCAGCAGCAGCTAATTCTATTTCTTTACCATTTTTTTCTTTAGTTCCTTTTCCCTGGAAGGAAAATATAAATATCTTATATATATCTTATATATCTTTTCCAGGATTTTTTCAAAATCATTTCATGAATGCCTGTTAACACCATGTTAATGTTGAAGCTGGTGTTCACTTAATATGAAATTCTTTCAATCTTAAATACAAAACTAACAAATATCCTCTACAGACTACTGTCTTTATGAAATATTTTTTATTGCATCCACAACCTAATATGTTACCTCTAATTTTCTTTTCTTTCCCTTGCTGCTTTCCGCAACAGCCTTCACTGGCAGTACAGCTTCATTCCTATCATTACTATCATCATTTTGCTGAGTGTCAGATTCTGTAATGAAATATTATATATGACTGTGAAGTGTGTATCTATATATATATATTTTTCAACAGGGGAATCAAAATCATCAGCAGAATTAAAATGTCTCCTTATTACCCATAACATCTATGTATAAGTTTTTTATTGTTTGTAAAAATGTCAGGTATTGTAATATTATTTTTTCCAATGATTTTATTTACAGACCTTTCATTACAAAATTATTGGCATGTATAATTTAATCTCTTAAATAGAAGAATATTGCACCAAACTTAAAAAATTAGTAACTTGTCATTCTGTTACTGATAACTTTTGATTATTAATCAACAAATCAAATTTTACATTTGTGTCTTGCTCCACTTTAAAACCAATAAAAATCTTAAAAAAGTTTACCTTTTTCTTTAACCTGGTTATCACTTGACACTAAACCACTCACTGCCAATTTCTGCCTATTATTCATTTTAGAACTAAGTCTTTCTTTGATTCTGTAAAATCATAAAGTTTGATAAACATTATTAGTGTTTTTTTTACATCACACCTGAACACAGTTTAAGTCATGTGGAAATGACTGAATAAATGATAAAAAAATTTAATCTGTAACTTTCATTGCAATTATTAAAAAAAATAATTAAATTTCATATAAAAATGTTAATTAATGATCCTACACTTCGGTCAAA